TCAAGTATGGATTATCTGATCGATATCTTAGAAAATCTTCGTGTGAACGAGATTGTTGCACACGATAAACGATTCTTCCCATCGATCTCGACTATCCGAGACACTGTGAAAGATTATTACGAGTCCTTAAATGTGCCAAGGAGGCTTTTAGGACTCTTTTGGTGAAGATGTTCGAGATGCCGCGGTATGATGAAGCCATTTTTTTGTTCTTCTCTCGTGTTGTTTCAGCTGTACCGCCTTTGTTTCATATAATTGGAAATTCTACGCTATTTTCAACATTCATCGTAAAAAAGACATCTCATAATTGTAAAAGAAATTTTAGTATCTAAATAATTTATGTCTATATTAATTTTAATGGAGAAAAACTGCGTGTTAAATATTGCTTCTTATTTGTATGTGCGGTAATTATATACATAAATATAAATATAATTACAAATAAGTACTTATTACGAGTATAATTATGTACCTATTTATAAATAGATACTTATTACAAGATAATACATGGTAACGATGTGTATGATTATTACTTTTCCATAATGCTTATTTTAAAACATTATTAAAGTGACTGGTAGCTGTTGTTGTGCCATTTAAATATATTTTCACCGCATTTACTATCTTAAACAGCAGGTAATATTCCTGAAATAGCAATTAGAGAAGTAAACGGTGAGAAATTTCGTGGCCATATATCTAAAGGAACTGCGTTCTCGCGTGTATTCGAAAGGTGAGGGAAATAGTTTTCGAGAAATGCGCAGGTTTGCATGGGGCTAGCATGAAGGGCGGGTCGCATCCCCATGACAACCGTTCGCCACGCTGATGAATCGACTTCGTGCGCGGCACATCGGGGTACACCGGTGAAATGCGATTCCTGATTACCTTGCAAACTTGGGCCTCCTAATTAACAATCCACGAGCGCATTCGTTGCTCGAGTTACAACTTTCGCGGGTTCCTATACGGCCGCGCGCGCGGAAAGCAGCTTTGTAATCCGAGTTGATAGGTGCTTTTTGAGAATATAGACTCAATTATTATCGTCTGCTGTTACAAAAGCTATAACAAATCCAGAATACAAATTATGTATCTACATAAGAACGTTTTATAAATTAAAACATTCTAAATAATATAAAATTTTTAATATTTCAATATTATTTGAATTATTGGTCTGCTAACAAATAAATAAATGAACCAATAAATCTTTTGGAGACACAATATCAATTAAGCCAGTTATATAATATTTTTTAATGCATAGTTGATTATTCAATATGTGAATGCATCATAAATTACGTGTACAATTTTTAATTATAACATCTATAATTATATACTATGAAGTAAGTATATATAATTCTTAAAATTAATGTAGCATGTCTATTAGTCTACTGTCTTTATTGTGTAGCAAATGACATTTACTATCAATTAAATAGATATATATCACTTATATAAATAAAAAGTACTTAAAGATGTTAAGCGAACATCGTGAATATAAAATATGTCGACGATGTCAACGGAAAAATTCACCATCTTCCTTCGAGAAACTTTTCGCGGGGAGATGCGCTCGCGCCTCCGACAAATGTATCGTAAATTGTCGTTGCGAAGTGCTTAATGCGGTCGTCGTGCGAGGAGGTGCGAGTCGCGATGGCGGAAGAGAAGAGGATGGGAACGAGGTGGAAAGGAGACTCTCAGAAGGGAGACGAGCCATTTCGTCGCGCCCGCCCATGCTGGAATTTTGAATCCGATGACGAGTCGGTAGTGCAACGAGAGCATCATCGGTGAGCTTAATGGCTTGATAATGTCGCCCGCGAAGATAATCGAGCGTGAGATCGTTCGGCCGATTTTCCTCCGCGTGAATTTTAAGAGACGACACGAACCGATTTTCCACCTTGCCTCGAAAATGCACCGCATACTTTGCCGAGATGTGATGCGAAGTCTGCGCTTTTAAGACGACGAGAAATATAAAATCTCGTGATAGAAAATAGATTAACCTTCTGCAACTCGCGTACTTATATACAAGTAATATTTTAAATTAAGTCAGTAATATTTTAAATTAATACAGTTTTTTATTTGTTACTTGGATTACCAATAAACTTTTAAGTTGTTAAAAAAATTAGAGATTTTAGAGAGTTAAGTTTGATATAAATTCAAATATTTTAATTACAATATTTTTAGATATCTATAAAACAATTAATATAATCAATTCTTTATAAAGACTTATTAATTTTTTATGTTTAGCATACAAGTATAATATTGATTTTGAATATTTACTATTTAGAAATTGTAGCGTTGATTAATCCAACAGTGAACTTGACAATGGACCAATGCTGCTGCAATATAATAGTCCGACCAGTCCAGAAGCGTGCGAGGGGTCGTGTCGGTGGTTCGGTTGCCCTCAAATCATCGCGGGGGTGTGAGGTAATGACATTCGGCCATGCAGAAGTAATGCGATAATGGCTACCATGAAAGACCCCTACCATGATATCTGTTGCTTTGATGTATTCTCTTGGTACCAACGCTCTTTTCACCCTTGGCTCGACTTTCATTTTTTCTGCCGACATTTTAAATTCGCACAATCGATTCGTCGGGTTGATAATATTTGGTTCAGCAAAGCTGTTAATTGTACACTTCATGACTGTAATTTGTAATTACTAATACGAAAAAACTAGAAAAATTGATGTGTGGAGTGAGAGAGAGAGAGAGAGAGAGAGAGAGGGGGAGATAATTAATATAAAATTGTAGAAGTATCTTGTATCTAAAAATATAGTAAAGTGTACATTAAAAAAAAATACTAAAGAGAGAGTTTAAAACAGCAAACATATTTTGATAAACTACAGTATATAAAATTGAAAAAGTTTCACAAATAATATTATATCTATTGAGAAAAAGTATTTATCAGAAACATGAATAATCGCTTCTCACAACGTATTAAAGATCATCTATCGTGAGAAAAAAACCTTAGAATAAATCGTTATAAGCTATTGAATCACATATTCATTATCAACATAGAAAAAGTCGATACAACGCGAGGCGGACATTACTGCAGATACTGAACGATTCTGTGAACGCACGAGTCAGTAATCTTCCATTCAGAAAAGTTAGCCGGGCATTTCAGGTTAATTTGCTACTTGCATTCCGCTCAATGGCCACGCGTGAGTGCTACAGATGTAGTAATGAATGGGCGCGGGTCGAGATGCGGATGAGGGTTGCTTTCGTTTAGAGAGTGGTACGTTTCTCTAGGTGTCGTTTTGTGTTTCAGTAAATTTTGCATCGTTATTGTTAAAATTATGTAATCTTTGGTAAAATCTTGTCTTTAGCAACATACAATTTATTATAATTTTTTTATTTTAATTCTATATATATTTAAAAGTATATTATTTGGAAGTATACGTTAATTATAAAAATTCTGTTAATAAATATTTGACAAGATATTTAAATTAATTTGCGAAATATTTTCCTAACAATTGTGTGCATTTATAATTATAACAGAGACTTACAATTAGTACATCTTTACCGTTTCGTAAAAGGTTGCATTGATAACACTTTGATGCAGCTTCATATCTTGACTCTCTTTAATCAAAATCTACCGCCTGCGGATCGCAAAAAACCCAGCTGGAACTCTCTTTTGCTCTCCTCTTTGCGAGCAGCAAAAATCGATAAACACAATCTTCATCGACCCAAGTCCCTCCCTGAAAGTACTTGCGGCTCAACAATCGAAGCCCGCGATTACGGTTGATTCCTATCAAATAAAGATCATCCAAAAAAGGGGAATATTACTTAGCCTCCACCACCCGGTGCAGGTCGCCGCATCGTCTGTTGAGGGACAGACGCGTCCGTAGTCGCAGTTTGTCGGCCAATGGGACCAGACAGAAACGCAATCGCAATGCAGGCCAATCCCTCTGCTCCGTTCGTCCACCCGCTCTCGCTCGCCCTCCCGTGCCCGGTAATGACAATCATTACCGGGGAATGATTGCAGCGTCGGGACCGCCAGCGCACCAGCCGCGCTATTGGGGGATGGAAACCACCTTATAGAGTCTCTCCTCGGTCCTCGATGCGAGCGGATTGTCACATGCTCCTGCTTGCACGGCAGAGCGCGTTTCCTCTTCTTCATTCGAGTTCGATTTTGCGGTGGAGAACTTTCTTCGTGGTGTGAGTAACCGAGACATGGCGGTCAGTCAGTCGGGGCGAACACAAAAAAAGTAGCAGTCGGAAGAAAGTTACAGAAACCATATCGAGGCCACATTACCGGAATATCCGCACCACGTTATCGCTTCTTTCATAGAGTGAACCGCGACATTTCTCTTTTTCATTATTCTTCAATTTATTTGTCGTGGTATGAGTGTATTGTGTGATGGAACATGGCGACCACTCACGTGTGTTATTTGGGACAGGTGTAACGTAGTGAAACTATTCTCTGGAACTTATGTAATCCGTTATTTGGATCAATAATCAATTGATTAAATTGAAGATCTGCCAAAGTTTTACCAATTAAAGAGAAGATCGAACAATGATTGCATATCGCTCAAACGTTAATATACTTAACAAATATACAAAGACAAGAAATATCAAATACGGTTTACCAGTTGCTTTTCTGATGACTTATTTTGTGAATCGATTGCGATGATGTATTGTCGACTATACGTGCAACGTTACGTAGCATTGCCGGTGGCTTTGTTTAGAGTGGCCCTTGACGAGTTCCAGTGAAAAGGTCTCCTCGTGCGTGTTGTACGAGACATAGGCGCTTGCATGGCGCACATGTCGCTCTCGATGTACGTACGCTCAGCATTGTCGTTGCTGTGCAATTGGCAAACCGCGATCCGATCATTATCGTACTCATTGTCAGATTTGTCGATCCTTGAATTTCGACATTCATATTTATCGATCTATTGCAGTCGCATTTAATGATAGACCTTATCACGCAAGCATAAGATGAATGGCAAATTTATACGGTTTCCAGATCAAGGAATCAGTAAAAGGAAACCAAAAAAAGATTGAACAATATTACATTTTCCGATGAAAAGAACGTATGTTAGCGATTACGTAAACACGTCACGATCGACGAATGTCCATTCATCGGTTCTCATATATTGAACGAAGACAAGAATTAGCAGGTAATTATGGGAGTGTCAGTCGACTACATCGTTATGTTTCTACGAAAAAATATTGTCGAAGCATTCAAGGTGATGTACTGCATGTGAAGAATACAATTACTTAACATATAGATTTGTGTGTGTGTGTGTGTAACATATAATAAGTCACTTTGATTATGCAAAAAGAGAAAACCACTATAACGACTCTTAGGTAAATGTCAGTCTTATATATACGAGTATCATTCTTTCGATGGCACTGTAAAGATTCAGAAGACGTTTCTCTCTTTATCCTGTCAGTATCAAATATAGCACATTTATAAAAGAAAACTTGTTGAAAGATCTCTTGGAAAACTAAAACACTGTATTAATGTTTCGTTATATCAATGTAATAATGTGAAACAGTTGAACTTGTCTAAATAACAGGATTGTCCTAAGAAGTCGTTCTTTTTTTAAATTTCCGACCCGTGTAATCGTTGCAATTAGATGTAATAATTGTTCTATATTTCGCTTCAGCTGTCGGCAGATGTTGGCATCGCGCCGAGCTTCACAAAACTTGGAAACCCGATCAGGCTACAACGTTTACGATTCGAGAGCCGTACAGTAATTGTCGCTTAAAAATCAATTGTGGATACCTGCGAATTTCTGCTGTCTGCCTAACTACGAAAGACTACCCTGAATTTTTAGAAACTCTAAGAAACCATTTCGTAAGAACCATACATGAAGGATTTGTTAAAGGTATGATTAACCTTTTATGCAAAAAGGATATAAATACGTCATGCAATGTTAAATTTACTGCACATTGATAGAATTGTTATGCAAATCAAAGTATCGAACGATAACTTTGCTTTCATTCTAGATAAAAAAATTTTAAACTTATATTAATTTTTCATAAAAAATATCTTACATTGTGAAAAAAATGTTTCACCATATAATTAGTAAATGAAATAGTCCGTAAAATGTAGTAACATAAAATAATAACATAAAATAATGTTTTACTAAATAGCGAAAGAGAAATTACGAAAGGTTATCTGAGTAAGTTTCTGATGCACTGATAGTATCGGTATTAGTTATATTAAAAGCAATAAAGCAAGTATAATCATTGAAAAAATAATCGGCAGCGCGCGATTGATAACTAGACACGTAATAATAGACTAACTGTATTCCGGATGATAGGAAGAGTATTTGAGAAGATAGGAAGTGAGTTGAAACTTAGGCAGCTGCGTTACACGAAGTAAATAAATCACAATAATTATCGCGTACTATCGATTCTATGGATGCATTCGAGAACGAAATTGCCGTTAGAATCAATCGCGCTGGCGCATTAACTCCTAGATCGTGTCATGATAGCAACAACCGACCTAAAACAGAGGCGAGCAGTTATCTTCGCGTTCGCGTATGAAGGCGATCGCCTTCAGTAGGTATTATCTGATCTTGGATTATAATGATCGTGCCTATTGTATTTAATCGCTATGCGCACTATTCCGCGATCGAGCGTTATCTCGATCCTTTCGATAAAACTACGATTTCTTCCGGAAGACAATTAACGCGTGATGGTTCAACTTGATATTGTTATCGATGTAAACGCTTGTAACGCCAAAAGTATCTCGTAGAAATGTAAAAAATAATAAGCGACAAACAAGTTCCGCGAAGGTATATGCGCAATTATAGATGATGCGATCGCGCTGTGTATTATTTCTTTTTTACAATTTATGACATATCAACTCGGTACGTAATTCTTGCAACGTAATTTTCCTTTTTATCACGATAAAAAAAAAACGATCCTATACTCACACAAATATTTTTTTTAAATAAAAAATGTTTCTTTCCCTCCCTCAGAATTTAACAAAATTGTAAAATTATTTTTCGGAATCGTGATTCATTTAGTATTGTTCTATACAAATAGTATGTAGAGCGTATAACTTTGGAAGTTACGAAAGGCCGTGCTTTCTCACTAAATCTTGAGAGAGCAAACGTTAGTGTTACAACTAAACCGCTACGCTAAGCAACCATTATTATTCGCAATAATGACAGACGTCCGCGCTTCTGCGGTCTGCCATTCCGGTCAGTCCAGTTTCTACTACATGCTTATACCTCTTTCGCACAACTATCGATTACAAAGTATCAGAGCTCGCCGAGCTGTATTTAAGGAAATGAAAGAACGTACGGCTCAATGGTGACCGCGTTCTGGTCCACACCCGTGTGCGATTCGTTCATGTCGTATTGCTGCGACCGTGTGCGCTGCTACTGCTCGTGTATGCCCCGTAATTTCTGTAGTCGTAAAAAAAAAAAAGAGTTTAAGAAAGCGACACATATAAGACGCCCTACAGCTGAATCTAATTCATATCTCTTGCATTGCGTCGTACCTCCTTATCCGCCATGTTACTCTTGCGGAATAGCGGTTCTTCCGCCGTTGCGAACGATTGCTGCTTCGTATTTTCTGGAATCGGAAATTATAATACATTGATACCGATGCATCGCATCATAAGAAATAACGCTTTTCGGGATATAAGTTTCTTACCGCGAAACTCTCTTTTTTTCATATAAGCAAACACGCTTCCCATGAAAAGATATTACTACATTATTTGATAGCGAGTGAAACGCTACAAAATTCTCAAAGACTTCTCTTTTACGACGTAGTCCAGTTCACTTTTCATCTACGTGCTTAGGAGCCTTTCTCCAAAATATCAACTGCGAAACATCAAAGAGCTCAGAGGTATATTTATGTAAATAAAAAATGAAAAAGGAGAAGAAGAGAGATAGAGAAAGAGATACGCGCGAGTCACGATGCTGGCCGCGTTTGGCATCCACGCCCGTGTGCACACATTCTCTCCATCGCAGCGCGCTTGTACATGCACATACAGGACATGTATACGGAAATACAGTACCCGTTTTCTCTTTCTTTTTCTCTTTTTTTTCCTCTTTCTCTGTTCTTTTTTTTTCTCTATCTCTCTCGGCGTTGCGCGTTCTTGCTCGCCGCGGAAAACATAATGATGGCGAGCGAGCGAAGCTGCGAGCGTTCGTTCGTTCGTTCGTCTGGGACTCGTGCTGGAAACCGGCGATAAGGAGGGAGTGTCTACTGCCGCCATAATGATAGCCCTGAGCGCCTCTCCGACTCCGCTGCACCGCTCCGCGCCGCTCTCTATCGCAGCGGCAATGCACATGCACCGAGCGCGAAGCCGCGCCGCGCCGCGCCACGCCGCGTCGCGTTGTGCTGCACGGCAATGTGCGTTTGTGCACGCGCGCGTGCAGGGCGTGCAGGGACTTCATATGTTACATTGCGGGTATATAAATAGGCGACACATTCCCGAAACTTCGGATATTCTTATTCCTTTGGCTTTCTACGCGCGCGTCCTGTACACAGCGACAATTCGACTGACAATTCAAAGAGAGAAAGCACGGTTGATATCGACATTTGTACCTTTGTTCTTGAAG